TCAGTCCTGGTTTAGTCCTTGCTGACCCTTCTGTGTGTTCTTAGCGTGTGCTGAAGTGTCTGATGAAGAGGAGCTAGAGCCGACCTCCACAAAGGCCCAGAAAAACAAACGGACCAAGAGGACAGATGGTGAGTACAACTGGTCCTGGTCCTGGTTTAGTCCTGGTTTAGACCTGGTTTAGACCTGGTTCAGTCCTGGTGTTTAGACCTGGTTTAGACCTGGTTCAGTCCTGGTTCAGTCCTGGTGTTTAGACCTAGGGTAGACCTGGTTTAGTCCTGGTTTAGACCTGGTTTAGGCCTGGTTTAGACCTGGTTCAGTCCTGGTTCAGTCCTGGTTCAGTCCTGGTTTAGTCCTGGTTCAGTCCTGGGTCAGTCCTGGGTCAGTCCTGGGTCAGTCCTGGGTCAGTCCTGGTTCAGACCTGGTTTAGTCCTGGTTCAGTCCTGGTTTAGACCTGGTTTAGTCCTGGTTTAGACCTGGTTTAGTCCTGGTTTAGTCCTGGTTTAGACCTGGTTCAGTCCTGGTTTAGACCTGGTTTAGTCCTGGTTCAATCCTGGTTCAGTCCTGGTTTAGACCTGGTTTAGTCCTGGTTCAGTCCTGGTTCAGTCCTAGTTTAGACCTGGTTTAGTCCTGCTTTAGTCCTGCTTCAGTCCTGTTTTAGTCCTGGTTAGTCCTGGTTCAGTCCTGGTTTAGTCCTGGTTCAGTCCTGTTCAGTCCTGTTTCAGTCCTGTTTCAGTCCTGTTTCAGTCCTGTTTAGACCTGGTTTAGACCTGGGGTTTAGACCTGGGGTTTAGACCTGGGTTTAGACCTGGGGTTTAGACCTGGGGTTTAGACCTGGGGTTTAGACCTGGGGTTTAGACCTGGGGTTTAGACCTGGGGTTTAGACCTGGGGTTTAGACCTGGGGTTTAGACCTGGGGTTTAGACCTGTTTCAGTCCTGGGGTAGTCCTGGTGTTTAGACCTAGGGTAGACCTGGTTTAGTCCTGGTTCAGTCCTGGTTTAGACCTGGTCCAGACCTGGTCATCAGGATAAACATAAGTCTTTATGTGTCTTATTGTCTCCATCAGAAGCTTCTAGAAACCCAAAGAAACCCTGGAGTGAGGAGGAGAGCCGTGGAGAAGAGGATGGTGAAGTACCTGGCTCTGTGTGCTGTGCCTCACACAGGAGTCTGCAGTCCTCATCAACAGAACCTGGAAGGACCTCAAGTACTTTGTGTATAATACTATTATCCGACTCAAGAGGCAGCTTGTGTAGCTGGTATTTGTGTCAAACTCATTCCCAAAGCGCCGCAGTGGCTGCAGGTTTTCCATCAGACCAAGCAGGAGCAGAACAGACTCCTCCCATTTCCTCAGTGAGTTCAGTCTTAACCTGAAGGTTTGAGGAAATGGGAGGAGTCTGCTCTGCTCCTGCTTGGTCTGATGGAAAACCTGCAGCCACTGCGGCGCTTTAGGAATGAGTTTGACCCCCCTGCTTTAATGTTAAGTGCACAGTTATGTTTTAAAGTCCCGTTCAAGAGCACTTTGTATTAGGTCCTTTGTAATTGTCCTGTTGGGACAAGTCAAAATACAAAGATGCAAATAAACCTGTCTTTCAAATGTTTTGCTTTGTTTTATTAAAATTGCTGTGATCCCACATAATAATCTGTGTCAATTTGCACATGTGACCAACTATATAATTCTAAATATACCTTCAAAGAGTTAAAAAAAGGTCTATTCATGATTTCTTTTGCAAATTTCACTTATTGTCCCCACTCTGATGGTTCAAAACGTTTTCTTAAATCTTGGTTCTAAAATTTTTTCAATGGAGTGTATAGCTCCGCAGCGCCATCAAGTGTCTAGAAAGTGTTTTTTCTTCCTCCTAAAACATTGGGAAAGGCAAGTCCTCAGTTTTCATGTTTTTAACTACGACCTCACTTTGTGGGGTTTGCGGGAATGTGTGTGTTTGTGTGTGTGTGTTCTGGCGAATAAATAGAGACTGATTCTTGAATGTCTGAAGTGTTATTGCAATAGCACCACACTGAGAGCGAGGGTCAGGGCAGATAGTAACATATGTGTGCACGTGTGTGTGTGCGCGCCCCCGGACACGAGTGCACACACACACACACTTCAGCAACGAGCGCTGAGAAATGAATGAATGAGAATGAAAAGTGTGGAGCAAAGCGATGGGAGGCAGGGAAGTTACAAGTGTGTGTGTGTGTGTGTTCTGGTGATTAAATAAAGACTGATTCTTTAATGTCTGAAGTGTTACTGCGATAGCACCACTGAGAGCAGGGTCAGGACAGAGGGAGTTATACTCGTAGTAAACGCTTTTCTTTGGCCTTGCAGCCACACACTCCCTGTGCCCCTCGGTCTGGGGCTTATATGAAAGGTTTAACAGAAGCGGAGAATATAAGAAAGTGCAGGAGAGACGTGTGTGAAAATGCGCGTTAGGACCTACAACACACACATCAGGTCTGAGTGAGATATTAGGACCTACAACACACACATCAGGTCTGAGTGAGATATTAGGACTTATAACACACACATCAGGTCTGAGTGAGATATTAGGACCTACAACACACACATCAGGTCTGAGTGAGATATTAGGACCTACAACACACACATCAGGTCTGAGTGACATATTAGGACCTACAACACACACATCAGGTCTGAGTGATATATTAGGACCTACAACACACACATCAGGTCTGAGTGAGATATTAGGACCTACAACACACACATCAGGTCTGAGTGAGATATTAGGACTTATAACACACACATCAAGTCTGAGTGAGATATTAGGACCTACAACACACACATCAGGTCTGAGTGAGATATCAGGACCTACAACACACAAATCAGGTCTGAGTGAGATATTAGGACCTACAACACACACATCAGGTCTGAGTGAGATATTAGGACCGACAACACACACATCAGGTCTGAGTGACATATTAGGACCTACAGTATAACAAGCACTTCAGGTCTGAGTGAAATATTTATCAATCATTACTCCTTTCACGGAGAGTAACTCTGTAGATGGACAAATACATTATAACTTTAATGTAGAATTATTTATTTTTATACATTGTGTTTGTAATTTTTGACACCTCACTTTTATATTTGTTTTTGATGTTTTAAATTCTAATTTAAACATGATTTTCCAACTGGAGTTAAGACAATTTTTCAGGGAGATAATCTACTGACACAAGGAGAACATGCAAGCTCCACTCCAAAAGGCCCCTTCTGGCTGAAAGTTTTTTTTTTTTTTTTTTTTTTTACAAACACACACTCACTACTCAAGTATCTTTTTAAATTACCATGAGTCAATATTTTGGCTATTCTACCCACCTCTGGGAATGTATTTAAGTTTGTGACAAAATAGGTGACATATGAGGACAAGTGTGTGTGTGTTAAAAGTGTGTTAAGGTAGTACCGTGCACGACCAGAGAGGCGCTTCAAACTTTTTGGGACGGAGTGTTTCGGCCCCGACACACATTTTCACTATTTGTAGACATTTTGGGACATGCTTGATTTTTGGTGTGGAGCTTGTTCTGGGCCTCTACAACACTGTAGTATGCATGGAAAAATGGGGACCTGAAAAAAGTCCTCACATTTCCTCAGGTCCTGATATTGAAGGTGTGTTATCATACAAAAGTCCTCATATGTCCACAAAACAAACGCACACACACACACACAAACACACACACACACACACACACACACACACACACACACACACACACACACACACACACACACACACACACACACACATACTGCACTTATGAGAGACAGATCTCACAACACTCGATATGTGTGAGTTCTTTTCTCTTTTCTCTCTCCCCTTTTTCCAATTGCTTTCAATAAGTTTTGTCTCATCCGGTGGATGAGACGCGCCCGGTGGAGTCCTGGCCTAATATGGCACGATCCAAATATTGTACCAGTGTAATCCCTGATGCCCGAGCCTGATCGACAGTGTGGCCAAGCGTAAATACATTCATTTGTAGAAAAATAATCAATCTGAATGCTTTTGGTTGTCCGTTTAGAAACAGCTCTAACTGGAGTAACTGATACAGTTTAAACCGGGCCGATGGAAATGGTCCAAACCACAGCAGCGGGGTAGAACAGATGTAAACACATATTTCATCACATCTTTAAGTAAGTAATCTTTATTTATATAGCGCCTCTCGCAGACCAGAGTCTCAAAGCACTTGTGGGCACTCTTACTCCACACAGAGATGGAAGCGGGGTCGCCGTACAGGAGGCGCATGCAAGAATGTGATGAGTATGCCAATAATTGGACTTCCTCATTGTCAATTATCATGCTCAGCATCAATCACGTCTCTTTTCACCAGCCGCACATGCGTAGCAGAACACTGAGTCTATTTATATAGCCAGTGAGTTGAGGATTGTATTTCTATTTATTATCATTTGATTCATCATTATTTATTTTTCTTTCATTTTCATGAGTTTTATTTTCTGTGGTCCGCTGTCCATTTGTTATTTCTGTTGTGTGTTGTCTGTGTTTATGTTGACTGTGTGATAAAAATATATGTATTCTTAAACCTCCTGGAGGTAGATGTAGAAGGGACAGCAGAGGACCAAAAATAAACTAGAGTGGCCCTGTGGACAGTGCCTTTTAATAAGTGACTAACCACAACTTTGAACAAATTATTAAATTAAATATTTAATTTTTTTATATTAAGTATATTCATTATTTAATTAAATCATACAATTCATTGACAGGTAGCTCATCCCTTAAAAAACACTTACTTAACACTAAATTTGAATACAGTTTTGACCTGGATTGTTTGGGTTATGGGGAAACCTATGCATCTGGACTCTCTGGAGGGAACCCAACCACACACGACGGGAAACATAATGACTCCGCAAAGAAAGGCTTAGGCTGACACAGGATCCAATCCACAAACTTCTTGGTTCGAGGACTAAGTGCTACCCCCATATGGGTGGGAAAAGCGCTCATGTGTGATTGTAATCAGGTGTGTTTGGTGCCATGTCTCACCCGGGTGACGTTTTTGACTCTGAACAGCCGTGTAATGATGTCTTCGTCGGCTGACATGGACAAAAACTCCACCTCCATGGGTCCGTACTGCTGAAGACCCGGCTCCGGCCAGTACTGCACACACGGCTGTCAATCAAACACCTGCATTAGTATAATAGACAGTGGACAAAGGTTTAAAAGTGAATTCTCTTGCGTGCTTCAATATCAGGCTGACAGTATTGACAGATTTCATATATTTCACTGGGTTGAAAAAGTAGCACTCTCAAACATCATGGGATTCATAAAAGACCTTTTTTCACTGCAGACCCATCTTTTTTTGACCAGTGCTGAAATATTGTGTTGACCCAGGACAACAGTGGGAAACATCCCCTCGGCTTTTCACCATGGGGAAGACAGGAACGTGTCAAAATAAAGTCAAAACACAGTACCCACTTTCAAAATTGGTCTTCTAAAGTCACAGTGCACCCAGGACCAGAGGGAACCTTATCATAATATGTTTTACAAGGCGACAGTAGCTCAGTTGGTAGAGCATTGGGCTCTGAGCCTAAAGGTCGTGGGTTCAAGCCCACCGTAAGACCTACTTCACGACTCCCACTGATGACTGCTGTCGTTGTGTCCTTGGGCAAGACTCTTAACCCCACTTTGCCTGAAGTTCCCACTGAAAGATCTCAGCTTCTGTGGACTCACCACCTGCAGGAGGATCAGTAAGGGGCTGGTGCTCTGTGAACTGGGTGCAGCTCTGGCCACCCCCCCGACCCAGAAATGGATTAAGGGGAAGAAAATGGATGGATGGATGGATGGTTTATTGCTGTCTAAATTATCAGTATTTTTGCCCTTTTTATTTGCAACAACAAAAAGACTAGGTTGTTGTAGTGAGTTGGTCGTGAGAATGTGCCTTATTATAATTTATATATAATTATACATTGTCAAACCTGGCACATTTCCATAACATCACTCTTCTTACAGCTTGTCTAATCCGACTCCATCCTGCTTTAACAAGCGTGTCAAACTCGGCGCCAATGCCATAGTTTAGTTTCGCTTTTCTGGACTCTCAAAGACGCTTCATAATTTTACCACCACTGTGTATGGAGTGAAGGAATAAACAACTACTGTCGCCACAGCTGCCCTGCCATGGAGAGGAGGCTACTAATCTGAGCCATCAACCAATCCGATATCCAATCATTCTCTTACTCACACAGGCACAGGCACACGTGCATGTGCACACACCAGACTCATACTAGTCTAGTCTTACATGTGGATGATGTGTCTTGCTTAAAGGTCCCACATTACACTTTTTGACTTTTCTCTGCTTTAAAACATGATTACAGTGCTATTTGTCCTCATACACATGCTCAGAGTAGTTTTTTCATTGATTCTGTCAATCTTTAGTTGGAGAGCGATCTTTCTCCTTCACCCTCGAGAGGCAGTGAAACGCCCGGGTCCACATGTGTGATGATTACCACTCTGATCAATATGACGCGCATAAGCCCGTTTGTTTTGTATTTACAATGGTTTTTAAATACCATCGTCAAAACAGGGAAAACAATACACAATAGGTGTGCTGTTTGCTGTCAATCAGCCGGGAGGTGATTGACAGATTGAAACAGTGATCAGAGCGCGCAGCCAGCTCCCAAGTCCGGTTCCCGAGTCCAGCGTATGTTTGTGGTCTGTGTTTGTGTAAGCCCTCAGTCGTACAGGGATTAGTCAAAGCAAAGGAAGGTTTCTCACCCATCATCTGTACTTCTTAGCAAGTTTTCCCGACGTTTCGTCCTCAACCTAGCGGACTTCTTCAGGGAATGAATTCTCGGACCGCGCGTTGGAGATTTATAACCTATGGGTGTGGTTAGCCACACCCTAATCCTGATACTAACTCATAAACAATCTACGGTCTGCTTGATGTAGAAGGGAGCAGATCTAACGACCCTGCTGAGGCTAACGACCCTAACTCCTTAGCATGTCACAGACCTATTGTCTGCTGGGATGCTCAAGTGGAGGGCAGGTCTCACCCCTCCTAAGTCATTAGCATGTCACTGACCTTGTCCCAAGTTAGGGCGTTGTTTTTAGGATGTCGTCATAGATGCGAGGCAAAACAAATCTTAACCCTCCTCCTCTGTTAAGAGAAGGTTTTTGTTTCCTCACAAAAATGGCTTCTTTCACTCCTCTCTCAAACCAATTCTTCTCCCGAGCCAGAATTTTAACCTCTGTGTCATCCACCGTGTGGTTGGAGGCCTTGAGGTGGAGATGAACAGCCGACTGTGGCCCACTAGAGTTTTCTCTACGATGTTGGTAAAGTCGTTTCTGTAGAGTTTGTTTGGTTTCTCCAATATAGTGGTCAGTGCACTCCTCTTCACTACATTTAATTGAATACACCACATTGCTCTGTTTGTGTCTGGGTGTCTTGTCTTTGGGATGCACTAATTTCTGTCTTAACGTGTTGAAAGGTTTGAAATACACAGGGATTTTGTGTTGCCTAAAGATTCTTTGTAGTTTCTCTGAAACTCCCGCCACATACGGTAAGGACACCCCTCTCCTCCTACTTTCTTCTGTCTGTTGGACTGTGTCTCTGGCCTTTCTCGTCCTTTGGGCTTTAGTAAAAGACCACTTGGGGTAGCCACATCTGGAAAGTGCTCTCTGAACATGTTTGGTTTCTCTGTTCTTTCCCTCCGAGCTTGTGGGGACCTGGTGGGCTCGGTGTTGAAGCGTTCTAATGACCCCGAGTTTGTGTTGTAGCGGATGATTTGAGTCAAAGGCCAGGTACTGGTCAGTGTGAGTGGACTTTCTGAAGACCTCAGTCTCTAATTGTCCGTTCTCCAGTACGGAGAACCCCACTCGTGTTCTGTGGTTTGGTCCCGCAAACACCACATGGAGATGTTTTCTGCTTTTGTCAGCGACTGAAAGTGTGCGCACTATTTGGCGCGAAGAGGAAGAAAGCGGCTCGACTTTTTTCATATGGATTTGCCTCTGTTTGAATTAATCTGTTCATCTGCGACACTTCACTGAGAGTGTTCCAGAACTACAGGGACAATGGAACTGGACTTACTCAAAAGCTGATCTGGAAACCAGTGTTATTCCAAAACAAAAGACGCTAACACGGATCTGTAAGTAGAAGTACAGTGACGCTAACTGGCCGTATACTTTTGTAAACTAAATAATTAGGGTCTGATTGTGGATCGAGGACATAGGGCTCGATGTTACGGATTGTCATTGTTGGAAAAAGTTTATTCTCAATGTACCGGGGAGATAAACAACTCCTCTCTGGATCAGCCTGTTTGAGTCGAGGAGAAGTCACCTCTATACGAGAGATGGCTATAATCTCACAAGTTTTGAGTGTTGTATGGTGTATCACTCCAATTATTATCACACATGTGCATAGGATTGACTGTGAAACATGAAGAAAAGCGTAATATGGAACATTTAAGGACACCATGACAATTTGGTACTTTTCTTCCACTCCATCTAGTATTCCCAGAGGTCTCCCATCACAGTAATAACCAGGCCCTGCCCTGCTTTATATGGCAGGTTAGACGTGACTTTTCACAAACATCCTGCCAGTGTGACCATATGTTTTGATTCACTTTCTTTTTTTAATTTCTTTTTTTCTCTTTAGTTTTGATTCACTTTCTGTGTGAGATTGATGACATCACACTTATATATGCGACCTGATTGGCTGTGTGAGGGCTGGTACTCTCTTTCACACAAAAAAACGATCTAAAGATGTGACTAAAGCCAAACTAGTGATAGAACCTAACCGTTTTCAGTGAGGAACTAGTTACACGGATTTCATGCACAAATCTATTTACAGTTTGGCAGGGGGATACAATTTTGAAAAGTGAAAAATATAAAGAGAGTGACAGCAGCAGGCAAATACAAGCAGGTCTTTGACAGAGCGAGAGTGGGAGCTTTCATGAAGGAGCAGGAGGTGCGATGGCTGCGCACTGTTGTTAATAAGACGAGGCCTCGCTGTGATTGAAAAAGACGCTTCTTTCGGCAGCATTAACGCGCACAGGTCATAACAGCAGCTTGAGATGGCTCAACTCAATTTTCAGCAAGGAACCAAAAGAGCTGCGCTGCACTGTAAGAAAGCACACCCGAAATAAATATGTGAATATTAGAGAAACATCTGAACCCTCTTCGTTTTAAAATGTAAACTAACATAGCGCGATCTAATTGAAGGCATTGAGCTATAAAGAAACAACATGGACTGATTGGAAATGCAGAAAACTGCTCAGTCCATGACGTCTATGAGTTTGAGAGGAGAACGTTTAGACAGAAGGGTCAAGGGATGTGAGGTTTTTATTTCTTACCGATATTACATTTTTAGATGCTTCAAAAGATATTATATAATATTTTCTTCTGTAATAAAATAATAATAAAATAATCTCCCCTCTAGAGCAGGTTGATAGCATTATTTACCCATGATCCTTATTTCATCATAAACTGATGATATACAGTAATTTAAACATGAAAATATATAAACATGAAATAATGTTCATAATGCAATATTTCCTCTTTAAGAATCTTCAACTGAAGATTTAAGTTTATTGTCTAAATAAATGTGGGCTTCACAAATATAAGCCCACTTTACCTTTCTAATGAAATTAGAGCATGCCATTCCACATAATAAATATTCCATTATTTATTTGAATTAAAAAAATATTTCAGCATTTTCTGTGCTGAATAATTACTATAAACTCGTATTAATCTATTCTTCAACATTGCAGAGTTCTGGATTTAATGTTTTTGACATTTCACAAGTACAATAAACAAAAGGTTAATAGCAATTAACTATAGAAAGTGTTTAGAGCAAAAAGTTCCAAACGGATGACAAAAATGCTGTTTTAATCAGGACTAAGGCGGATCCTTTTATTGCACTTTACATTGATGAAAGCTGTGCTTCCCAAATTTCATACTATTTTACTAAACATTTACCTATAATAAATCTTTATCGTTTCTGTCACTAGTTTTCACATGCTTGTATTTTGGCCTCTGTCACATGTTTAGATCAGCGTTTTCTGACAGAGAGGTGAGAAAGAGAGGACCACCCTCACCCTTTCTTTAGATATTGGCCCATCTTTCATCCCATACAGTTGATATACTACCATGGAATCTTCAACCTCACTTTAAAAGTAATTTTCGCAGGAAAACAACCACATAATTTATTTTACTCACAACAATGATCCCAAAACGCAATAGGTAATAATAACTTGTTTTTTCCACATTCATATTCCTTATTTCAATCATTTGCTCAGAAAAGACCTTCCAAACGAGAATATTCAAATCAAATAAAGACTTGTTTGTTTACTCAAAATGTAAAAAATATTTTGCTATGAACAAAACTCCCCCAAATGAAATACTTGTTTTCCTCTCCTTTTCTTTTAACGCCATTATAAAATAACCTTGAAAAATGTTTAGCCATTCAATATACAGTATTAATTTCTAACTAACACATCAGTAATATCCCCTACTTCAGGTATAATTGGTTCCTGGGCATTTCCACACCATGAGATAATAGGTATTTGGATCTTTTATTTACATAGCACCTTTCACAAACTGAGAGTCACAAAGCCCTTCACAAGTGTTTCTCATCTTACTCCGGTCCACACTGGAAGCTGGGACTTGCTCAAACCCGCCACAGATGGGTTTGAGCAAGTGGGTTCTAAAAAGTAGAGCAAAACCACCCTATATTAGGATCTGAAAGGATGTAAATGACCCGAGGCTGGTCAAGTTCGGAAAAATCAGCAAAACAAAATAACATAATTTAGGGTATTCATTAATTACTGTGGTGGGTGACCCGAGGATAACACAAGGTTTAAATGGTAGAGGAAACCTGAGAAACTGGAAGAAAAGCTTTGCAAACCCAGTACCTTTTTGCTGTTTGGACAATTTGAAAAGATCAGATACGACAAAACTTTATTTATCTCACCGTTGGAGACATTTACATGTTACATATGGGATAAACAGGATCACTCAGGGTGTGCAAATACAGGAAATGTTACAAAGTGAAGAGATACAGAGTATCTTATGTACAATAAAGTTATTGGTAGCGCTTCTTCTGACAAGAGAACACTTTCCATTTTCATCTCCCAGCTTTTGATAGAGTGGTTTTCTCCTGTCATTTACACTCGCCGTAGTTTTCAGAAGTAATCACGCATATATGAGTCCGTTATATTCTCCTGGGTGCTTTGAATTTGTATTTGTGAAACGCAGTTGATTTGTTAGCATTGTTCAGGCATTTTGGCTCCAAGGAGAACAAATCCGCAGATAGTTTACTCTATCTGTGGTTTGAGCAGAACTTGAAGTGTGTGGAGGAGTACAAAGAGAAGCAACGCTATGTAAATCATATCTAATGTCTGCAATTATAAGATATTAGAGTGTGTAAAATACAAGTTGGGAAGTGAAGCAAAAGAAAAGGGTAACAAAAATGTAGTGTACTCTAGAGAGGCAGCGCGAGGAGGGAATGGCCTTATCTAGTCATGGTCAGGGATCAAAGTCTCACAAAAAGCCATGGAGAAACTAATCCGCAGCACAGAACGCTATAGGAAGGAACGGAAGGCGAAGGAAAAGTTTGACTTTTCACTTGGAACAAGACTTGTTAATGGTTAACGGCATAAGCTTTAATGCAGAGAATTCAATTCCTGATAAGGGTCAGACTACGTCAAATCTCAATGTGATTGAAAAAGTTTCCAAAAATATATCAAAAAAAGAAAAAAAGAAGACAAATGATGTTTGCGATCATTTTTTAGAGGTGTTTCATGTTCTAATAGTTCGAAGGGAATTTAAACAAACTTTTGGTCTAACACTGACTTCACTAAATAACCTGGATGTTTGTGTTGCGTTGTCCCTATCTTTTCAACCTTACATTCCATAAGGCAAATAAAGTCTGAATCTTCTGTCAAATCTCCCGTCTCAGTCCTGTAATAGTATGATGTAATTGTAATCAATCAATCATAATCAATCTTCTCTCGTGTTTCACTTGCACGTATGTGTAAACATTTGTCTTTTTCACTTATTCCCTAAAAAAATGTATTGGGTAGAATTCATATGATAGGCGCATACTTGCAGACGCATATGACAGACATTTGTTTCGCCAACGCAGCTACGGATGTAAACCATACCCATATGAGCGCATGAAGGGATGGCCCGTCCAAGAGACAGTTAGCTCACTGATCCTAGCAGATATCGCTAGCACAGACTATGACAGAGATAGTTAGAACATAGACTATAGCATAAACAGTTAGCGTAGACATGGAGCCAATACAGCGCAGATGTTCTTACCCAGGCTGAGTTGGACTGGTTTAGCTGATTGAGCATAACCACAGCGGTGCAGCCGTAGTCGTACACCAGTCTCCAAAAGTCTGCGGTGGTTCCGGGCAGAGGGTGAGGCGTCACCACGAAGGCGGCCTGGCGGTGGAAGCTGTCGGCCAGCGCGGCGTTGATGTAGTTGTTGCTCTCGCCCTCCGTGGTGACGAGGAAAGCCAGCGCTCGGTCCGGCGGCAGGACGTCCATGCTGCGGTTCTTCTCACGATTCCGAGGTAAAAGGGCGATGCTGCACTCCTCCACGTCCAAGTGTGGCGTCACAGAGTTCAGAGTCTTCAGGGAGCACACACAGAAGAGATTAATGGAGACATAAAGATTCAGATCCAGTTTATTTGCCATGTGCAGTAAAACCACACTATAATAACTGTGCAAGAGTACCCCAGAGTTCTTGCCATGTTCTAGAATGTTTTTTTCAGTATGTGACATAAAAATACATTATATGAACTACAGTGTTCATAAAGGAATTGTATCAGAACATTGTCAACATTGTAAATGACATTGCAGAAAATACTTTTGCATGAAATAGAATTAAGTACATTCTTTTATCAGATTACTTGTGCTTCTTTGTTTTAATCTACGAAACATCATAAAGCAGAATGTCAGGAACATCACACTTTTTATTTCACATTTAAAGGATCAATAACCTTGGAGGAATCTACATGTAAAAGCTGCAATAACACGTTTGTGAATTTATGAAGCCCTATTACATGAGCGTGGTCCAGACACAGCTTTGCCGAGAGCCGCATGTGGTTCCCAACCCACGGGTTCGCCACCCCTGCGCTAGATTCTCCTTTTCACTTGTTTTATTGCAGTTTCAAAACTCATCTCTGTAAATGTATGCAAACATAGGTTGGCCTTCGCGGCCTGTTTGAAGAGACAAGAGAAAGAGAAACATTATATAAAATGTATTTATAAACAACTTGCGCCTTATGTTTTTCCACTGGAACTCCGGACCATTTGCTTTCCACAACTGTTCACACACAAACTCAACTTGGTATGAAGGCCTTTCAAATTTGTATTTATTTAATCTTTAATTCAGACACACAAAGGGTCCATATAAAACAAACACAACAATAAAAGAGACAAACAACACACATACATTAGATGTTACAGAATTCTATAAAGACAGTTTCTCCAATGCCTTCAGAGATCAGAGGTCTGCCTAACACTAAATGTTATACGTTGCCATTTCACGTTTTAATAATTTGCTTTTAAAATGTTAGAGAGAAAGTTGGCATCATAAGTAACTAATATAACTATGAATTCATTCTCCAAGCTCAGAAGTACACTGCATTTGATCCTTTTAAAACCACAAACAAAGGACCTTAATTAAGACAGCTGCGTTTTCCCCATCCGGCCATAAGTAAGATCGACAACATAAAAATCTCATGAATAATCCATCAGGGACTAACCCTGCTTTGCTACAAAACAAACTGGACGTCGGGAAGCAAAGTTTATTAGATGAAAGCTGTCATATTTCCTTTTAATTAAGAGCTTGCGTGTTGAAAAGAAGTGTATCGCAGCACTTACAGTAATGTCCCTGGGTAACCTGATCAGATATAAGTCCAGGCACGGGATAAAACGTCTTAAATGAAGGAAGGAAGGGCTTTGAAATGGAGAGTAGCCACGAAGCAGCTGGCTCTCGGCTCATCCCTCCTCAAGATCTAACTCTAAAACCCACTCCCACAAACCACATCAAGCCTTTCAGCGCAAGCAGCCGGGCCTCATCACTGGTGACGGGAAGGAGCGAGCAAGCTGGGAATGAAGCCGTATGCAGTCTACAAGCTATAAGAGTCAGATGGCAAAAATACAACAAGAAAAAAAGAGATATTCAAACGTGTTCAAAAGGGTTGGATCTTTTATAATTGAACATTGTGAATTGCAAATATCCGCTGTCCTTAGACTCTCTTTCTTCAGTGGGGAAAAACTCCCAAAAAAGAGAAACTTCCGGAAGAACAACAGTGATCCACTCCCACGGACGGATAGGCTATAGCCAAATCCTGAACTCTCTCTCTACGGCTTACAGATGTCTCTTTGGCAGTGGGTTTTAACTTTCAGTCCTGTCGCATCACTCTGAAGCTTTATGTGATGTTAGCAGAAACATGGTCACATCAAAAGCCCAGAAGCCTCTGCTCAGACTGCAAACCAAGTTAGCGGCCATCAATAAACCCTTTGCCCAAACCTGTTGTAAGGCTATTTCAAGTCACCAATTACAGTCTAAAGCAACGTTTTTGTTTTGTTAGGGTCTTGGTTTTTGTCTGCTTATTCCTCACGTCACTTTCCCCTTTTGTGGCTTTGAGGTCATTCACAGTCATTACCAGCTGCGAATGGCAAATCATCCCTAAAAAATCCAAAACATTTTCCACCTTGAGATAATGAACCGCCTCTATTGTAACTCCACAAAAATGTTGGACTCCTGGCAAATTTTTTGTAGCGGAAGGTGCTTTTGTGCTGGACAAGAGAATATTTTGGTCATCGTCTTTGTCTTCCACTTCATAAATCACACAGCTTGTTATAGCGACAGGCCTTGTTGCACATCTAACAGCTGATAGCTAAAAACTAACATTTCTCAATTTGCAACATTTATAACATGTATTGTTTTGATACTGACCTGAAATTCATCTCGGAGTTGTGAGGAGTTACTCTGAGAATCCACGCGCAGCATCTCTTTGTAAGCAACAGCGAATTCATTGACCAAGAGGGCTGTCTCTCCACACAAACAGGCCTCCAGGATGGCATCGTGGATGAAGATGTACTGCTCCTGCCAATCATTAAGACAAGAGTGTAAGCTCTGTTTCCACCCGCTCTACTCTACGCGCCCAGATTCATAGCGTGTCCACCAGCCTTGGCCCTAGTTCTGGAACTAAAGTGTTCTAACTGACAGGTATTTTGTCAGGCTTGTGTGCTCTCCCCCTTCCCGCTCAGGAGCGTCTGCAATCCTGGTCCTGGCCCTGGTCCAGTCCTCTTTACACCTGCAGCCCATCCTCATCAGCTTCACCTCTATAGTTTAGAAACCCAAAACAATCACAAACTATAAAAATCCTTAGTGCACTCTTAAAGGGTAATGTAACTCCATTCAAACTCAAACATGTTAATATGACATAATCTATTTTAATTTAAAGATTTCCGGACGAGAAAAAGATAGCCGCTGACCTCACCCTGATTCTGTGACGGGTGGAAAAGTCGGACCCTAGCACTATGCGGAATAATGTTGGCAACTAACAAGTTGCCGATATTGGTTGCTAGAGTCAAGCTGGAGTTTTTCACACAAAAGAAAAGTCTGTGAAAAGGCCTATAGTTACCAATGCCTTTGTCTCGGGGAGGTTGCTAGGATATGGTAGCAGATTCTAAAGCGTAGACTAGGGTAGGGTATGTATAAACAGCATAGACTGAGGACACCGAGCAGAAGGCTGTCTGTAATAAGCAGCTTTGTTGCTGAATTATACATGGGCACTAACACCGCCGGTGTATCAAAGCGGTTGGAGAATAAATCATGTTTTCGAATAAACACACGCTACGCATTTAATTAGAACCTGTGCAAATACCGAGAACTGTATTAAACAGCTGAAGTCAGTGTGGGATTTCCATAATCAAAGGTGAACATGTAGAATTATCAGCACATCTGGGGTGTGTGTTTGAAAATGGTGACCTTTACAAGTCCCCAAAGAAGGTTATGGTAATGTAACTGACAAACATGTCTGACCAAAGGCGTTTGAGCTCATTAAATACATGTTCTAGCTGCCTTCTATTTGCATATGTGTGGGTTTGTAATGTGTCATATTTTAAAATGTAAGTATACGTATGGTTAAATGTGTAACTTTAATCATTGGGATGGAAATAGTCCACTGAAAAAGCTTAAAGCCCGGCAAGTTTATATACCACAATTGATACACAGGACACCTCAAAGTGCTTTAGAAAACAGATACGTAAGACAACTGACTACAAGCTACAAAACAGAGGAGAGCCATCCGTAAAAAAAACTTGTATAAGTGATTATATATATGGAGGTAGTGTGATACGCTCTTTGGTGCGAGGCCATGAAGAAACATGTCCACTAGCAAAGACCTGAGACCCGGACTAAGGAGAGAGGACTTCAGTCAGAAACCCCTGAGACCAGGACTAATGTGAGAGGACTTCAGTGTGAGACCTGAGTGCAGTGGTTTAGGTTGTAAAACACGGGACCAGCTCTTTCACTTTTCTATCATAGGAGTTTTCCTGAGTCCAGCACTCTAGGACAAATAAAGGTTCCACAATAGGGACATTTCTAATTTTTGTGAATCTGGGAAGAGCGTTTTCCGAGAGTCCTTTACTGGGTACAGGGTTGACATTTCAATTTGAAATCTGACACTTTCATGTATCCCTCCTTTACCTTATGAACCTCTCTCAGTCTCAGATCCACAGACCCATCTCTCTGTTCCTCGTGTCAATCTGAATGTGGGAGAAGCGTCTTTCTCCCATTATACTCCTTGTAAATGAAACGCTCAACCTGACGACATCAAATGTGCTCCGAGACTGAGCTCATCAAGACAAAATTAAACACCCTTGGACAGACTTTTGGATGTGTCTCTTTTGTTTAACGTCTCGCGATTTGTTTCGTGAATCTGTCTCTGTTAAGCATGTTCTGTATGAAAAGTGCTATATATACAATGTAGAGTATATCAAGTTTCACAGCAATCCTTGTTCAACTGTATCTCCAGACAACCCTTTCAGCCTGGTCTTGTTCTTGTGGCCACAGTGTTTTTCTCACCTCTGTCTGGATCATGTTGATGCGTCGCGAGCACAAGGTTTTCACACAGTTGTAAATGTCCACCACTCCCTCACACTCGGCCATGTCCAGCATCACATCCAGCACAATGTAGCAGCCAGTGCGGCCCGCCCCGGCACTGCGCACACAAAACACACACACACACACACACACAATCAGAGAGCACTTATTTATTCAGCTCGACCAGGGCGGCACGGTCGCTGAGTGGATAGCACAGCGACCGGCGAGAGTGGTCCTGTGGATAGCACAGGACCACTCTCGCCTCTCAGCAAGAAGGTCCTGGGTTTGAATCCCGGTCGGACCAGGGCCTTTCTGAGTGGAGTTTGCATGTTCTCCCCTTGTCTGCGTAGGTTTCCTCCGGGTACTCCGGTTTCCCCTACCACTAAAAATATGTACAATAGGTCTGGCATGCGCCCTCGCTCCCATCTCTGTGTGGAGTGAGAGACAAATGCCCAAAAAATTAACAATTGTAAACCGCTTTCAGACTCAGATTTGCAGTGAAAAGGCAGTATATAAATAAAGATTACTTACTACTACTTACTAACTACCAGTGTCAGGGTCAATTTTTTGCAGCAAAAGTGATCACCAACTAAATTCATCCAGGTAGAGGAACATATCCCCCAATTCTAATACTGTATTAAACAACTAAAAGAAGATTGTTCGTCCTGTATTACTTCAGCCATCTAAAAACATCAGACATCGACTCCAGAAAATGTAAAGTCGAGATGATAAAAAAATGGTGGAAATCTTTTTGCAAGTTCTATGTGTATTTTACTAGTGTACTTTGCAGGCACTAGGAGCACTGCACTAGTACCTTTATTGTATTGTAAGCCTAATGTGCTAAACTACTTTTTAGTCTTCCACAAACAATAAATGATTCCAGACAAGGCTCCAACCACACAACTAGTTTTACAGCTTATTTATTCAGCTCCTCTTTGAAAACTGTATCAAAGTCGTGTCTGTTCCACTGGGCTATAAAAGCAGATAATAGTTTGGGAGAATAGCGTTTGCTTTTGCAGCCTGGGAATAAAAAAGTCACATATTTTTTACTGCACTTGGTGAGATTGTGCTTTCATTAACAGTTACGCCCCGGAGGATGTAATAAAACAGGGTAAAAAACCTTTGCACTGTTAAAAGTAATGGTTATAAATGAATTAAAATGGTGATTACATTTACGTCCTCGTCTTATTGAAGAGGTTTAAAGTTAGCAAACAAAGACCAATCTTGTGTACAGTCTACATCCATGTGTCCTTAAGGAGAACTTGTGATAAAAGAAAATACAAGGTTTTTAATTAAATTTGTTATTATTAAAATTATTGTTAATAATGATATAAATTGAGTATTGAAGGAGAGGTACACATTCTCTTTTTTGAGCCTTGAATCATGTTACAACATTGTTCCCTCATCAAAAACAGACCTGGAGTTGTTATAGATCCATCCATGCTATTATGGCAAGGCAAGGCAAGGCAAGTTTATTTGTATAGCACAATTCATACACAAGGCAACTCAAAGTGCTGATAGCATTAAAATCATAAATAATCACAGAACATTAAAAAGAAAGATGAAAACATAAAATCCCTCAGTTGTATGCTAAACAGCACCGTTTTTAACCTGGTTTTAAACATTGTCAGCGAGGAGGCCTGTCTCACATCTTCAGGAAGATTGTTCCAGATTTTAGCAGCATGAATCTGAGAAGCAGCCTCCCCATGTTTAGTTCTGACTCTGGGCACTAACAGGAGTCCAGTCCCTGTGCTCCTCAGAGTCCGGGCTGGTTCATATGGGACTAACATGTCACTGATATATTTTGGTGCGAGGCCATGGAGAGACTTGTACACAAGCAGAGCTGTTTTAAAGTCTATTCTCTGAGCCACAGGAAGCCAGTGCATATATTATCAGGAACTTCTGCATCAAAGCAGCATGTCATCACTCACTTCTACCACAAGAATGATAGCTTTGGCTCAGTCTCCATATTTTATTCCATTATATATGTTGAACCAGATGTTGTACTGTATGCAATTCAATTGCATACATAATTGTATGCAATTCTAAAACAAATCCCATCCTTAAGATGCCATTAAGGATGGGTTTCCTTCAGAGCCTGCCAATGCATATCAAGATACCCATATTGATAGGATATGATATACAATTCGACAAAAAAATGACATTATTGGTATTTATATTTATTGAAGACTACAAAGAAAGATACGAATATCACACCAATAATAATGAATTAGTGATAGACTCATTACAAGCAAAGTATCTGCCAAGCCTTTGTTTGTTATAGTTTTGATGATTACAGTTTACAGTCCATTTTCAAAATATTCACATTTTCTGAGATGTTTTATTTGGGAAACTTACAAGCTGTGAGCTAATTATCAACAATATAACAAATAAATGCTTGATTATCCCATACAGTATATTAGTCACTAACATATATTAGTTTCACATTGTAAGTTGAATTACAGAAGTGAAATGTGAATATTGAAAAATATTAGAATTGGCGTCATCTGTACTTGTTTGTTAAAACTCTCTAAAACTCTGCTGTGCAATGTTCCTCTCAGTATAGTTTATCTTTCCCAGACAGCAGCAGTTGAGTAGGGAGTGTACCTGCAGTGAACCACCACTGGCCCCGCGTCTGGAGGAGTGCAGCCTTTGACTCTGCGGATGAAAGCCAGCAGTCCTGTGGCGTGGAAGGGGACCCCGTGTTCAGGCCACGACGTGAAGTGGAACTGCCGCACCTCATGTTTTGTGGAGTATCCCCTCTGCAAAAAAGACACACCACAAAACTATTACTGAATATACGCACACAATCACATGTCTTTTCAATGCAGTAGAACGGAGGCGTCAAAGCTTTTTTTGTCGAGGGAAGAACTTAGAACACAATAGTTGGTCGGGGATACAACTTTATTTCTTTGTGGAAAGTTAGTTTGAAGCTCATGTGCATCTGTGCTTTAGGCCATGGAGGTCATTTTATCTATAATTCTTTGAGCTTTGATAATTTTTTCTGGTAGATATTTCCAAACAAATTTAGTTCAGTTCTGTTTGGACTGAACCAAAACTGGACATAAGGTAACGGCAGAGTATTGGAGTGTGATATGTCAAACAGATATAATATTAATCAAACTCTATATATTTTTTTATTCAATGTTTAGAATTTCTTGCAACTTTGTAAAATGAGAGACTGGACACATTATCCCTTCTGTGCACGATATACAGTATATGATGTAAAATCCTGCCATGGTAGCAATGTCAACCTTTCATTATCAGTGCTGCAGGTTAACAGTAAGAATAGGAAGAACTTTAATAATAATTTGGTTTTAGAGTTATATAAAGATAACTGCACATGCATTCAACTGTCTAATATTATGGTACTTTGTATGATTTGTTGCAAGTAGTCAATGATGAATTCAAAACAAAGTACAATTACTTATTTTGAGCTGTATGTGCTTGGCAACATTGTTTCTTTTGTTGTTTGGTGTAAAATGTGTATATTACTATGAGCAGCCAAAAAAAAAAACAGACCACTCTATTTGTCTAAGTCAAAAGGTGGGTTCTCAGAGTGGACGGAATGGGGACTATACAAAAGCTATAGCGAGGTGCAACATGGGCTAACTAGCTTTGTAGTGATTACGATCCTCAGCCCAAAAAGCTATTTTATACAAATAATTCTGCATAATTTTGAGGTTTAAAATGTTTCATAAACAGATTTAAGAATTAAGATGTGAGTCTTACCATCAATATTCAGCACATTGTTCATTAGCCCCGAGCAAGTTTTCAAAAGCTTTCCAACTTTTATATATACATTTCTTTTCAGAATCAATGGGGAAGATTAAAGGATTATTACTTCTGCAACTGTGCAGTGGGTGGGCACTTCACGGATTAGCACCAGTTTCCATGATAGGCAGAAGAAAGTATAACAACATTCACAAAAATACCATGTTTGAATGAAACCAGGTTTAAAAATAAGTAATCACAATTAATACACAGAGATTCTACTGTTTCCTGTCAAACCACAGCAGGTGGATAGCTTCTGTAATCTCTTGTATGGAGCTACATGTGTCAGAGGCAGGAAGATTCTGGCAACTAAAGTTTCACTGTAATTGTTATTATTTTATCAGACCACAAAAGGTGCATTTATGATCATTTATTGTCTTTAAATACATCTGATACATCTACAAATATGTAGTACAATCAAAAAGAGTGAACCCCAAAAAACCGTATGTGAACTGAGAGTTTTAAGAGTTGGTAAAACTATGTCTCTAGCTGTTATAGAGTGTGGGTCGCACAAAGCAGGGACCTGATAGAAATGACTGGAACACAGGGAGGTTTTCTCATTCCCATGCATAGCGAAGGCAAAGACTTGTTATAGTGAGAAAACCCTAAAAAGAATAAATTATAAAAAAAGAAAAATACTGAATTGGTTTGATTTGAATAAGCAGAAGCGTGACAGCGATGATAGGCCCGTGTTTGTGCCGCTGTCATTTCTGAGCCGCAATGAAGTCTTCCAATAACTGCCTGGGGATAGTGGAAGGGGTTGGGGGTGGGATGGGGTTTTTTGCTCAATGTTCACTGGATAGACGGCGAAGGTAAACAAAAAGCAGTCTTATTTCTTAACATTTTACTATGTGCCTTCGGTCTCGTCACAGTAAGCATTTAATCGCCTCTACAGTTTTCGCACACCATTTTAAGTTTGCCAGCTTCTGCCAGTTCATGACGTTAATTCAAAAACAGATAAAAATGTATCCAGGCTTATAAATTAGAATATAATGTTTAATGTTGTTTTATGTCTGTATTTGTCTGTGCACACTGGAGACTTTTTGCTAATGTATTCCAATGTGGGGTTTTTTTTACTGCAAATGGCAAATAAACTGAATCTGAATCTGATATAATGGATATTCAATTTGAGTGACTGATGTCATCTCACAATCTTTCACACAGGGGTTAAAAAAATGCTTGAGGTCTAACAAGGCCAAATTGCATCTTTTCAAAGTTTTATCTTGAGAAAAAAAAATGCAGTGGTTTTATATAGCGCTTTTTTCTGAACACTTCACACTGCATTTTTCATTCACTCCACACACAGTGGTGGTAAGATAGCCACAGTTGCCCTGGAGCAGGCTCCCACCAGATTCATACTGGGAATATGAGTTAAGAGCCTCACTGTGGCACCTTATGTCCCTGGAGGTCTCTCACCACAGTGCTAACCAGACCCTGCCCTACTTTAGTCTTCAAATGCAAGTGGCGCCAACTTTTGTCATCATTGGAAAATAAGCAGAGAAAGACTCAAAGGAAAACATTTGTAATAATTTAGTGTTGTTTTGATTAATTTGTAGAGGTGCACTGATTGATAAGTCACATGAGCAAGAAGAAGTTAATGCTTATTTGGAAAAATCAAAATCAAAAAGAGAATTCAAATATTTGTGCCAAGTCAATGTGATCCGTAGTAGGCCGCTTTCAATATCAGGCTTTTCTTCTTTTTCCGTCTTCCAAAATGTGTGATGCAACAGTAAACATTTGAAAAATACACAAGAAACTAAAGAACACAATAATAATATGGTGGAATGTTTTCAGCAAACAAACAGGGGTTTGATGCTAATACACTAGCTAACAATTAGACCGTTTCAGTGGTTTAGGTTATGGTAAGACATGTACTATTGTGCAAACATACTTAAACCTATCCATGTATATTGTGTGCACTTAGATGAGACATATAGAGATGACAAATGAAGAGGTATATTGTACAGAGGATAGAGATGGATGGATGACTCACCCGCTCCAAGGCGAAGGTGCGCACTGTGTACTCTGCCAGCGTCTCGCTCTTCAGTAGAGTGATTTTGATGTCTCCGTACATCTCGCTGTCTTCAGGCCAGTACTTACAGCACTTCACCTGGTTAAAACAAGTGCACGTGAGCATACATGAAAATCCCTGGACACTTACATAAAGGTGACGGTCGATCCATTCAACCATTTTCTCCCACTGAGCAAACTACATATGAACTACAAAATGACACTCTCTTGTATCTAAAGGTATGTGAGCAGTAAATTGAGAGTTTTGCCTTTCGACTTTATTGTCATGTAGAGAAATATGTTCTATGCATTTGAGCCATCCTGCAAAGCCACCAGGGCCACTGTCAGGAGCAGTGTTGCAGCTCCAGATGATGATGATTTTCAACAGTCTGTTTAAATAAGATAGATTATTACACATTATTTTTGGCAATTACAATCTGTGCCAAATGCCATAACTAAAAACAACTCCAGGTATGCTTTTGGTGAGGAAGATGGTTAAAGACATAATGGACTCTTTTTGTTGAACGAAGCACTGTAAGTTTTCCTTTAAACTGCATTTACTAATAGTTTTTTTATTAAAAAAATGTCAAAAACATTAAAACAGAAATCTGGTTCATAAAGTAAAAAAATAGTTAGTTATATTCTATTGAAATGAGAATATTTTTAACTCTTAAAAGTGAGTGTATATACTGTATGTATTTGATGCAATGTTGCTTTAATAAAATGTATTTCGTTGACATTTTCAGCCCTATTCAAGCATGCGTATCCATTTTATTTTGAACGCAACTTGTATGCAAATGAATAAGAAAGTAGCGAGAATCCATTACTTGCGTTGACTTTCCTGGAAAATACTCGACAAATTGTATCTAAGCTATTTTCTACATCTTCCCCATCTGAACAGCAAAGGGTCCTTAAAGCTGCATTCAAATTGCGCAGGTATTTTATGCGATGTGGGGAAATAGTGGGGCCATTACAGCGGCAAACACGGACAGCGGCTTTAATAGCGCCATACAGCCGCCAAGTGCCGTACGCTACATTTTACGGTGTCATTACGGTCATGATGGAAATGTCCATAATTCCCACATCGCAATTTGAAGGCGCAGCTATAACAGATAAAAGGCAGCGTCTTTGTGACAATAAAGAGCTGTTTATAATCTGCTTTTGGGGCCGCTATAGTTGCAGCGCAGCGGGTGTGCGAGGGGCGCGTGGAGTGCGGTGCGTAATGGTGAATTCTATCTGCGGCGCAAAGAGAGGTTTTAAAAGAGCAGAAAGTCCTTGTTTTTTGCGACCTCTGGACTAAATATGTTTTGAAATCCAGATACAGTAAGACCAGTGCTTATCGAGATGTAGAGAAACGCGAAAGTTATCTACCAGGCTTAGAATAAACTGAAATTCAGGTTATCATTAAAGATGTTGGTATTTTTTACACAAATGGATTACTTTTCTTTAATTTAAAATATTGTTACCAAAAGAGGACACATTTGGCAAGAAGACTCAATTAAAATTATAATTAATGTCATGAAAATTAGGAACAAAATCCTAATTTTAAGTAAAAATACTGTGCAATTTTTGATGTTAATTTTGTTTAATTCATTTCGGAAATTACATTCCAAAATCTAATATTATATGTCTGATTGAATAGAAAAGAGCTTATTTGGACAGAAGAAACAAGACCAACAAACCAGTTTATGGATTAGATTACAAGATTTGACGAGTGGCTGACGCACTTACCCTGCCCACCTCCACCAGTTTAGTGATCATGACGATGCTGAAGCAGTTTTCCTGCCAGACCATCCTCCAGAAGTCATAAAGAGTCTCCTGCTTCGGCCCTGAGACAAAAGAGGAAGCAGGGAGAAATCAATGTCAGACAGTACAACAAACACCTCTGACTATTGCAAGTGACACACTGTCAAGTCAATCAAATTCAGTATCATTAGACAATTTTATATATAGAATATATAATCTCGTTTCAATCAGATCTCTCTCAAGTCAACACACTCACAATCCATCTTTTTTATGCACCATACTAAACATAAATGAAAAAAAAGGAGAAAAATAAGGGCATGCAAGGTACCGGGGTATGGGGGGAGAATCCAATAAACTACACCTGGTGGGGGGGGGGCTGTTTCTTAATATACAGTAGATGGTACTGCAGGGGCATATGGTCAAAACTGTGTTATTTTCCAAATGAAAGCCATTTCTAATAATATTTTGCAGTGTCCCCTCCTCTTCTTTAGAGCTGTAACCATCGGAGAGACTCCCAGACACTAGAATAAGCGTGTTTTTCTGACCCACTGACTGTTTTGAATGGGAACGCCAAACTGAGAAGTAATTAAGTAATTAACTTGCATAATGAACAGCCTACATCTCCATTAACCCAGGAACGTATTGGCACCTTTGCACTTGTGAGAGAGATTGTTTTGGCAGCAGAGAGTGTGGAGAGGATCATGTTTAATTGATGCTCTGACAGAAGTCGCTCTTTCACAGTGCTCATACTCACCCTGAGTGGCGATGAAGTGGTTGGATCGATGGTAGCCCTGAAACAGAAGAGGACCACTGCTGAGTCAAACGTGAGGCCATAGAGCTAAGCATGTGTGTCCAGGACCACTGTGTGATGAGTGATCACTGACGGAACACTTCTCAAAGCACAGGTTTCAGTTCCAGTCTACGCGGTCTCCTCTAAGTGTTCTCTCTTTGAAGATAAAAGGAGACTGTGTGCGTTGGGCTTTGACACAGATTTCTTTTGCAGGCTAGATGTCCATTGCATAATTTCTGTTTGTCTTAAAGCGTTTGTAACTGCTGGTGATAATAGAGAATTGCAAGACAACAAGCTTCACATCGTTTGAGGCAATGGTACAAGTCACTTTCAAGCTTTGAGAATTGATTTGAGGCCCAGAAAACATTTGTGGACATGAGATCATTAAGACAAAGGTCTCTTCCAGATTTGACAATATGTGTAAATACGACAGATTGTATATAAGAATGAACAAATCCTATGTCTATGAAGCCTAATCAGGGCGTGCTTATTGGCAATATTTTTCCCCTACTTGATTTGGCTCAATTTACTTAGAAATCAAAAGTTAAAGTCATATGAGACTCACATGTCAGCCACAACTTTACCCATGATAACGGAACTTTCCACACTGACACACAATATCATGCAGTGGACACCAGGCAACTAAACTAAACCTCAAAAATACTGTTTCTTTCAGCTGAAAGTGCTCCCAGATCCCTTAAGGCGCCTGCTAGAGTGTGGGTATCTTTGCATGTAACAGCCTTTGAAACACAAGACTTTATCAGCTGCATGAGATGAACATGAAAAGAGGAAAGATAAAACAAGTAAAATAAAGGCTTAAAGGGATCAACAAAATAAATGTAAAAGCGATGGCGGATCAAGCCAGGCAACATAGCTCAAGGGAATTCCTGGATATGCACATTTAAATAGTATAATTCAACCGTTCATGAGGCACAAAGACATCAAAAGTAAAGAGAATAGTCCTGTTACCTGACGCTGCCAACTGAGGATTTCACAGCCAACATAATCTATGCAACCCATCAAGTAAACCCTCAGGGAACCGTTTCATCATCTCAAACTGTTGATTTTTACTGATGCAAAGCTAAAGTAAAAGTGGACATGGTTTGGACAAACAGAGAATGACCAGTGGTGTGAGGTCCGACGTTAACGTGTTACATCACAGCTACAACACCACTCCTGCATCTTATCTGGTGAGGAGATAAGCACATACTGTATTTCCTTATCCTATTTTGCATTATTCTGAGTCCTTAAACGTGATCATGGAATTATTTACTTTTGTATTTCATGTTTTGGAATGAAAAATGATTCCTAAAAGTAAATGCCAGTTACTCAAATTGTGAAGAGAACGCCTGAAATCAAACTGACATCAAACTGACGTCAAACTTAAATTTGATATTTGCAATTTGCAACTGAGCAAGCGTCAGTTTGACGCACCCATGCCCACCCTCACAGCTTCCTGATTGGATACATCAAATGAAATCCGTACCATTGAACAAACTCTTCTCAAATACCACGGGTTTCAAGAGATTGAAACAATAAATTAGATTGTTTTTTTTTAAGACACAAGTGTTCTTTTTGTACCTGACTTTTAATGTCAAAAACTGCTGACAAAACACATCACAGGACCATCACACGACCACTCTGAGGAGGACGCAGCAGTCGAGAAAGTCAGACACAAAAAAATCACTTAAAAACATTCAACAGAAACCAGAAGACCAAACGAACATTGTTGACTAGCCTGTAATTATGAATTATTCTTTAAGAAGATAATATTTGGTGAAATGTATAAAGTAGTGCTGTCAATCGATTAAAATATTTAACCACGTTTAATCTCAAGAAAGTTGTAGTTAACTCGGCCCTGTGCTCACGTCATCTGCTGTAGATATTGTGTTTAGTTTTGTCAGATAAACGTGATGGAAACAATATTATTGTCTGCTTTGTTCGCTCTTGCTCCCCCCCCCCCCTTTCAGCCACTGTCCCTCTGTGCTCTGGATGCACACTGGGACAACTGTCACCTGACCACATCAAAATTTACTGTAGGTTGAAAAATAGTAATCTAATCAAAGGGAATCGGTGCAAACGTAAAGGGGTGCAGGGGGGGTAGGGACGAAGATGACAGGCAGAGTAAGGAGCTGTACTTACTTCCCTGTTTATCCGAATCTACCGGTCCACGAACGAGAAAGAGGAGGGTGGAGAGAGAACATGTTAATGATGCAAGCTTTTAGTGAGATGCAGCTCAAGTGCTTCCAGACATCTGCATGCACCTCCATTCCTCTCACAACAATAACTGCATGTAGATGGACAATGCTAACTACTAAGGGAAGTGCTCATGGACATAGTTTTGCTCCCTAACCCTACTCGGTCTGGCTACTAGTCACTTACATTGGAAAGTAAACTCATGTTGTTCAAGAACCGTTTGAGTCATACTCCCAAACCAAATTTTGGGCTTAAACAATCTGTGGCACAAAAATGTAATGTAAATGGGTGAGAATGGCACACCTGCATCTGTTGAAAGTGGGATGGTCTTTGGGGCCGACAACACCGACTGGATTAGGGCTGTTCTGAGGATTAAAATATCCATCTATCCATCCATTTTCTTCCCATTAATTCATTTATGGAATGGGAGGGTGGCAGTCAGAGCTGCACCCAATCCACAAAGCACTGCCTTGATCTTTCAGCGGGGGATTCAGGCAAAGTGGGGTTAAGTGTCTTGCCCAAGGACTCGTACGCACGACCTTGTGGCTCTTAGACAAATGCTCTTCCAAATGAGCCATTGTCGCCCCCGCTTTGAAATATATTGGTTTACATTTGATGCAGCTGAAGTTGGCTGAATGACAAATGTACTCACCAGATACATTAGCGTCATACAATAAAAAAATAAATGTCAGTATAGTCAAACAAAGTCAACGACTGGATTCCAGAGACCCTGGGCTTCACAATGAGGTAATCGTGCCTGTGTTATCAGAGCTGAAGTTGGTTGGATAACACTGTAAATTTGTGTTTATGATCCTTGGGTTAACAAGGCAGAGGGCATAAAATGACACAGAGGACCACAAATGGCCTGCGGGCCTTAGTTTGGACATGCCTGATCTCGGGGTAATAATGGACTCGAGATTTAGAATGTAATAGCCACATGCATTTGTCTCTGGTAGCTTAGACTAACGGTCAGCTCACTGGGCTTTCCAAATGAGCTGTCCAAAAGCTGCAGTAGAACAAAGCAGCTCGAGTCTTGAATGAAACCAGGAAGTTCAATCACATTAGTTCAGATCTCAGCTTTCTGCACTGGCTTCCTGCAGTTTAGAGAATAGACTGTAAATCAGCTCTGCTTGTGAACAATTCTCTCCATGGCTTCAGGCCAAAGTGCATCTGTGACATGTTGTGACCATATGAACTACCTCGGACTCTGAGGAGCACAGGGACTGGCCTCCTCCTGGTGCCCAGAGTCAGAACTAAACAGGGGAAGGCAGCATTTCAGATTTATGCAGCTTAAGCCTTCCTGTTTATATATCCGACATGCTTCTACTTTGACAATTTTCAAAGGCAGGTCCTGTTTAGCTGTGCATCAATAGAAGTTTTTTTTTATGTGCTGTGATTATTCTAGATTTTAATTCCATGTATAATTTTGTTTGGTTTAGAGTTTGATGTTTAGATTTGTATTTATTTTTTTGTTTTGTTTACACTTAGGGTTAGGTTTGTGCTATACAAGTAGACTTGGCTTATATAAAAGGGGTAAGCATTACTGAAAAAAATATATATAGTTACTCATTTTGTCTTTATATATCTAATAATATATATTTTAGCACACCCCAAATGTTGATCCCTGGGGAACGTGAAACCAGTATTTCTCCCAACCACAGGGGGGGCTGTATACGGGAAAAAACAGCAGTCAATTAACGTCTGTGTTCCCTTTAACAAAACAAGGTTATGTTGTTTTGGGAAATTGTTTCATTCATTCTTGCCTCTGTTTACATACCGCCATGCGCGTACGCGCGCGAGGCTCAGCGCGCACTCGCAGAGCAAGTACTGTGTATGGAACGCTTATACCCGGACTCTCTGATTATTATCCTGGGGGATTTTAATAAGGGAAACTTGAGCCAGGAATTACCCAAATACAGACAGTTTATCAAATGCCCGACCAGAGAGGAGAACACTCTGGATCACTGTTACACCACCGTGCGCGGAGCTTTTCGCGCTGTTCCCAAGCCAGCCCTCGGCTTTTCAGATCACTCCATGATACATCTGGTTCCTGCTTACAGACAGAGACTAAAGCTCTCGAAACCTGCAATGAGGAGCTCCAAAGTGTGGTCTGATGAAGCTGTGGAAGAGCTGCGCGCATGCATGGAATCTACAGACTGGGACCTTTTCAGAGCTGCCACAGATAGTTTGGATGAATACACGGACACTGTGACGTCATACATTCACTTCTGTGAGGATAGCATCATTCCAACAAGGACCAGGGTCATCTATAACAACGACAAAACCCTGGTTCACTGCTAAACTCCGGCAGCTCAGGAAAGCAAAGGAGTCTGCTTTCAGGGAGGGGGACCGCAGCGGCTACAAAGCAGCTAAATATCAGTTCAGGAGAGAACTGAAAGCAGCCAAGTCCCGGCACAGAGAACGACTACAGGAGCAGTTTGGTAACAACGATACTGCTTCTGTCTGGAGGGGCCTACGGGAGATCACCAACTACAAACCCAAAGCCCCCCCCTGTGCTGACGACCACAAGCTAGCTGACGATCTGAACTTATTTTTCAGTCGCTTTGATGCTGCCCCTGACACCTCTCCCTCCCCCACCCCCCACTACTCTAACGACCCACCCATCAGCCCTGCCCCCAGCCTGACAATAGCCGCTAAAGAGATTAAACAACTCTTCCTGAGGCTGCACCCCCGCAAAGCTCCTGGCCCGGACCACGTGTCTCCGGCCACTCTGAGACACTGCGCCAGTGAGCTTACTCCTGTGTTCACTGACATTTTTCAACTCCTCTCTGCAGTCCTGCCATGTCCCGGCCTGCTTCAAATCCTCCATCATTGTCCCCGTCCCAAAGAAGCCCAGGATCACAGGACTCAATGACTACAGACCTGTAGCACTTACGTCTGTCGTCATGAAGTCATTTGAACGCCTGGTTCTCTCCCATCTCAAGTCCCTCACCTCCCCCCTCCTGGACCCCCTGCAGTTCGCCTACAGAGCCAACAGATCTGTAGACGACGCCATTAACCTGGCCCTCCACCACATCCTACAGCACCTGGACTCCCCGGGGACCTACGCCAGGGTCCTGTTCGTGGACTTCAGCTCTGCCTTCAACACAATCCTGCCATCCCTGCTCCAGGACAAGCTCTCCCAGCTCAACGTGCCCGATTCCACCTGCAGGTGGATCACTGACTTCTTGACGGACAGGAAGCAGCGAGTGCGTCTGGGGAAGAATGTCTCGGACTCTCGGATTATAAATACAGGAGGCCCACAGGGCTGTGTTCTTTCTCCCCTGCTCTTCTCCCTGTACACCAACCACTGCACCTCCAGCCACGACTCCGTGAAGCTGATCAAGTTCGCGGACGACACCACCCTCATTGGACTCATCTCCAACAACGATGAGTCCGCCTACAGGAGGGAGGTGGACCGGCTGGTGTCCTGGTGCAGTGGTAACAACCTGGAGCTGAACGCCCAGAAGACAGTGGAGATGATTGTGGACTTCAGGAAGAGCACTGTCCCCCCACCCCCACCCTCCGTGATGGACTCCCCCATCACCTCTGTGGAGTCCTTCCGTTTCCTGGGCACCACCATCACCCAGGACCTCAAGTGGGAGCCGACCATCAGCTCCCTCATCAAGAAGGCCCAGCAGAGGATGTACTTCCTGCGGCAGCTCAGGAAAGCCAAGCTGCCTGCACAGATGTTGGTGCAGTTCTACACGGCCATCATCGAGTCCATCCTCACCTCCTCCGTCACCGTGTGGTTCGCTGGAGCCACAGTCAGGGACAAACAGAGACTACAGCGCATTGTGCGCTCTGCAGAGGAAGTGATCGGCCGCAGCCTTCCATCGCTGCAGGACCTGTACGTCGCCCGAGCTCGAGGCCGGGCTGGTCGTATCACAGCCGACCCCTCTCACCCTGCACATGGACTATTCCAACCACTCCCCTCAGGCAGGAGGCTGCGGTCCATCAGGACTAGAACCTCCCGCCACAAGAACAGTTTCTTCCCCTCTGCTGTTGGACTCTTGAACACTTCTTAACCTGTCCCCCCGCCCTTTATAAAGTCACTTTACTGCCCATCATACGTCACTTTACTTCACTGTACTGCTGTCACCTTACATTGTGTGCACCATGTGCACTTGTATATTGTAAATAGTAACTGTAACTCTATTTTAAATTTAAATTTATTCTTTAGAAGTGTTTTTTTATTCTTATTTTTATTATCTCTTTTTGACTGTTGCACTGAGCCAAAGCAATTTCCTAGTCTGTGACCTCCTGTTACTTACGTGGCAATAAAAATTATTCTGATTCTGATTACATACATATTAACATAACTTTATGTGACAATGTTGTTAACACATAATATAGTTTTATAATTACTATTCTAGAATTAGGTGATTTTGAATAGAATATTTCACTGATTTGACAACAATTTTGCTGAGTTACAAGAAACAAAAACTTTAGGCACAAAAATAACAAAATGTCAACTTTGATGACGTTTTTACCAATGAGTCATTGTTATGTCACCACATTCTAGATTGAAACAAGAAACAATGTGTTACAAATCGTCTAGAAAATCTTGAGAGATTCATCAACAAATCAAAACATCCAGAAATCCAAGTCATTTAAATACTTTTGTTTATAGCAAAACTTTCCAGTGTTCCCTAATTACGGACTGCAGAGGCTGGAAGGCTCGTGGGACCTTGTTATGTGTCTGCAAAAACAAACTGCGACACCGTTTGGGCTAATGCTGCACCTATGAGCCTGACACTGCGCTGCGCCCACAGTAATACGCTCTAAAAGCATTGCACACTGACCACTGCGCACTCAACGTGAACGGAAAAGCACAGAGTACGATGTTTAAGCAAATGGTCCTCCAAGTCATAAGCTATCATTTTGTCTAACAGTACATGCTCCGTGATCACTTAAAACTACCCAAAATCCATTGGAGTGCTTCAGACTGTGAATATTTACCCGATAAAAGCAATCAAAAGTAAATGGTTGTAAGAAATCAAACACAAGTGGTTGAACAAAACACAAACAAAACAGACCAAAAGGTGAAAATCAGTCTCACAGCAATTGCTGTGCAAAGGCACAGGCGATTTACCGCTAATAAAGGTTGAAACAGGAAAACAGAAAGAAGTCTTAAGGCTCTCTTTGTACAGAGCTGAGTGTGAGATGGACAAGGGACAGTATGAACCATTTTGTCTGATAAAGCTGGTCTATATGAGGACAAAATACATCCTCGAGAAAACTAGTGACAGAACCAAACCCGGAACGAGTTCATGAAAGTTGTATTTCTTGTGGTTTTTTGGAGCACGAACAAATGGCTGCTCTCTGAATTCTTGGTTTCTGATGACTCTTTTACTATACTTGCCATTTATAAGTGGGAACAATGTCTGCACAGAGAAAGATCTGCCTGGTGAATGCTGGTAAACATAAACTCTGCTATTGCTGGTATCTGGCGGTTGGCTCTAACAGACTGTAGAATAAGCAAGAGTTGTGTTTGAGCACTTCCCTTTTCACAGCTGAGGAGTATTCACCTACAAAAAGATTTAGCGACCTGTAATTAAGGAAACTGCTCCAGGGGGACCTTATGTTTAATCAATGTGCACCTATTTGCTAATTTATGGACTAAATTATGATTTTTACAGCTGGTTTTCTAGACTCATTTCAAGAAAATACAATCTCAAAAATACCACAGACCAAAATATTAGCAGAGGCAACACATTTTTGGTCGGCCGAGAGGAGATGTGAAAGCATAGGTTCCCTGCCAGCTGAGGACGGGCCTTTCATGTTAACATTCAGGTTGCAGTACAGCAGGTGGAATACACTATCCAGATGATCAATGTTAGATTTTCCATTTCCTGTTTTGTCTGATCACCCTCTGGTAGTTAATTAGAAATACAGCACCGAAACATTAAGATAAGATAACATAAGATCAGATTGGGGACACAGGAGATTATGGATGCACTATTAGATATGCCTGGAACGGACTGATTTGATGATAAAAGATCCTAAAATTGTACCGAACGCCGTGTGTAACGTCAGCAACAGTGTTGAGGCCAATTCATGACGCTCCGGCTTTATGAACAAGAACAAAGCTGGTCTCCACTTCATAAGGAGCGCCGCAGCCGCCAGAGCTGAAAGCTGGTAAGTCCCCGATGCAGCGTTGCTAAAAGAGGAGCTCCTCAGTACAGGGAACTCTCAAAAAGGCAGATGTAGAAAAGGACTATCTCACACCAAACGCTGACTTGATCTGTGATAAAGTAACCTCTTTCTTGAAATATGGCAGTTTACGAGGAGCAAAACTAAGCTGACAGAGCTTTTTAGGTTCCATTCTGTTTCCAGCGCATGTATGAATTGTAGAATGAAGTGTTGGATAAGCGCAGGCAAATGATCAGGAGCCTGATGCGTAACTGGAATGGACTATTCATGGTATAATGTACTGCATATGTAATTACTATGGTAACGAGGGGAGCACAATAATGGCCAAAATGGTGTCTCGCCGATGACGCTGATAATTAACATTTTCGCACAGTTTGAGCTGTGTTCAATCAGAGTTTCTTGAGCAGGGGTCCTAGCTCAAAGCACACACGAGAAGAGTTGGAATATAAGACTTTTTTTTTACATTTGGAGGTAAATAACTGGAGAAAAAAACTTCATTCAGGGTTCCTACGAGAAAAATATTATCACCATTTATCAAATAAATGATTAACTACCAGAGCATTTCATTCTATTTGTTCAATTTAAAACAAATATGAACATTATTTTTGTACTTCTGCTTGGATTGTAGCTTGTGGCCATGTGTTTGTGTTGAAGTTAAGACCAGGGTTATTTAGTAAAAAAAAATAGTTATTGACTTTTGAGGAGAATGATAAGTCAAATACTGCACACAATTTAAGACCCAAATAACTGTTCCTAACTCTCTTTAAAGTCTTATTTCCTAATTTAGACTTTTTTTTTAGACAACAAAATTCACTGTTGTGGCGTGGTCCTTGTTAGTGAATGAAAACTGGTGGAAAAGGTGAAACTTACATCTATGTAGTTGGCGTTAATATAATCAGAATTTGGATCTCCCAGAAGAGGGTGCAGCTTCACTCTGTGCCGGTCATCTGCAAAAAAGGAAAATCCACAATGAATATCTGATAGGTTAAAATTCATCAGATATTCTTTTGTTCATGTCCATTGGATCCTGGTCTGAGCATAGAGTGTATGGTTCTGAGGGCCGCACATAGAGAAGATTGCAGACTGCTTGTCACATGACTTGTATTCTACCAAATTATACTGACAGTGGGACAAACAAAGGATCTCTTAAGCTTATATTGTGTTTCTGTTCCGCTGCACTGCTTTTGTATTGTTCTTTTCAGCGTTTTTGTTCGTCTGTCGTCCGTCACTGTTTTGGTGAGAGGGGTTTGGAACATTATAAGCATGCTTTACCCAACCACTTTCAAAACACTGTTATTCTCTGTAAAAATTGGTTGATGGATTGCAACACAAGTATAATATGTCCAGAAGCTGTGAATGGTCTCCTCAGCATCTTACATCTCCTTTAAAAGTGTAAGACATGACAAAACAGAACACAGACTCACATCCTGAAAGAGTGTCATGTCTCCCCGTGGTTTTGTCCGTCTTTGTCTTCGCACAATCCCAGCCGTCGAAAAAGCTCTGAGGAGAAACACACAGACTTTTGTTAGCGTCACAGTAATTAATGCATTTTGTTAATACTAATGAAGCATCAAACACACAGATAAACATTGTCTTTTATCCTGCTCTGAAGCACAAGCTGTCGCACTACTGTTCCACAGGCCCAAGCCATCATATTCCAAACTGTTTCACACACACACAAGCACTTTCTTACACATACAGAGAAAGAAATACTTTGAATATGGACGAGAAACTTGAAAACAGATGGTATGAAAGACCAAATATTATTTGAATATTTTACTTTGAACGTGATCTTGAGAATATTTACCATGGCATTTCATGTTTTATAATGCTGTATTTGTCTATTTAAAGAAGACATAATATTCATGATTTTTGGTCATTAAAAACTATACTTTATACTAAACTAGAATATGAAATAATATCTTCAGGAGAAACAACACATGGTGAAACAAGTATCGAGGGTAAATTATGCATTTTCTCTGCCCTATCCCTATACTACCACCAGTGGTATTGATTGAATTTTGTCGACTACCATTGGCAAACATGTACCTTTTAAAACCATTTTATGAGAACTACTTTTGTTTTAAATGGCAGAAAATGTCATAGTGGCACAACAATGACATACACTATTACAAGACTAAGACAGGTTAAGAGCTTTACAAAGTTTTTTTCTGTTTTCATATCTTTCCCGAACATACATTGATAAAACAATCTCAATACAATGGTAATACAGTCTGTGTTGTCATCACAAACACAAACTGTCAAAAAGCAGTGCAATAAAACCAAGTTGAAAACGACCAGATTAAAAAGTTTGTAATAGTAGCATTTAGACCGAAGGGACAGGGGCGTGTTTGTGCCAAAAGCTATTAGCTTGGACAAAACTAAAAACCCAAAGACAATTTTAGATAATATGTTAGAAAAAACCTTTAGAAAATTTTTCATATTTCAGAGAACAATGCTTTTGTTGTTTGTAATTATAGGAGTTACCAGCAGCAATTATGTGGAGGTGGGATTTGAATGGATGAGCTGAAGAGCAGAAAGAGTAAGAGCCAACAGTGACGTCCTCCTCCAGTGAAAACCCAAAAAAGACCATTATGAAATTTTGAAATTGATTATTGTGCTGAAAATTATGTCTGCTAATAATTGGAGTCCAGGTAATGTGTTTTTGCAGGTATTCAAATTGTAATAAAGCAAAGAATATAGCAACAAAACACATTTTGGGAATATAGACTTTGGGCATTTCATGTTTTAAAAACGTTGTGAAAAGATGGACATCCTTAAGTATATTGGATAAAGAAAGTATCTGGATTAGTAAAACACCCCATTTAATGGTAAAACCCAGAAATGACACATGTAACGCAAAACCCTCACCTAACTTTTTTTCAAACTCCAAACTCAAATAAAAAATAGGCCACAAATTTGTGACTTTTTGTGCTTCCCCCTGGACTATTTTGTTTTATATTTACCAGACAACCTGTAAGCCACTTTGGAGGCTTAATTGGATTTTTTTCAATTAATAATCAATAGTAAATTTGTCACCAGAGGCCAAAACTACAGGGCCTCATCTTCACAAAGAGTCTGGCCATTTGTTTGTACTTCAGGACCTAAAACAATTTGAGTTTTTACAATTTCAGAGAAAATATGTCCAGTGTCACCTCCTCACGTCTTGCTCAGCTCTTTTGACAAAAGTATAAATTGAAGCTGATTTTACAGAAATCAGTGAGGCAAAGTGACTATTGGGGAAGTGACTCAATATAATAGAGCCCTCAATAATATAATAATAGTCTCATGAAAGGATAAAGTTCCAGGCAAAAGTCTTGATTTTGTGAAGATTATAATCTCCATATTTAGGGGTTGGTTGCCAAGCGTTGAATTAAAGTGTTATGTAGGTAATATATATGGAAATCATGCAGCTTTAACAGTAAATGAAAGTTTTGGGGTTTTCCAAGTGAAACCGGATATAATATTTTCTCTTTGCACTCAGAAGAAATAAGCCGCTCTCTGTTGGCGGTGCAGTGACGGGAGCCCACCAGTGTCCGGCCGCTGGAGGAACTAAAGCTGGGGTACCTAACTTTTGTGTTTCATTATTATCCGTTCTAAAAATGAATATGGTGTGAAAAAATCAGACCAAAATATGCTGTCTTCCTTATTAGAAAACATTCATCATTTGTATTCATCCATCCATACATCCATTTTCTTCCCCTTTCTGGGCCAGGGGGGTGGCAGTCAGAGCAGCACCCAGTTCACAGAGCACCAGCCCCTCACTGATCCTCCTGCAGATGGTGAGTCCACAGGAGCCTTGACCTTTTTTTTTTTTTTTTTTACAGCAGGGGCTTAGGCAAAGTGGGGTTAAATGTCTTGCCCAGGACAGGAGTCATCAGTGGGAGTTGTGAAGTAGGTCTTTTCACTTATCTGTCCAAAAAGCGGATCCAAAGATGTGACAGAGGCTGAAAATACATGCATGTGAAAACTAGTGATTGAGGCAAACTATTTTGAGAGCAATGAAATTGTGACATTGATTTTATTACATATTTCCATTTTAGTGGCTTGAAAGTTATTAGCCTAGCGTCATTACTTTTAGGCACATATAGTTGTTTGCGATGTGTTTTTCACACTCACTATTGTATTTGGAAAAAATATATATGTTTAAAGGTGTATATTATAATGTAAATTAGTGACCATGGGACACTGTACTGTACAATAAGTATTTTTCCAAAATAATACATTCCAAACAATTCCTCCGCTTGGTAATACTACAATTAGTAAGATTTGCCAGAGGAGAGCAGTTAAACCAATGGCGAGAGGCCGCATTTTAATCGCATATAAATATTTGACCTGAGAACAGTATTTTTTTTCACATTCATTTTTAGTTTACCATTGAATAATGATTGAATACATAAGCTGAAGCAAAACATGTTAATTGTGGATGATAAGGGGATCAGAGGGACATCTTTCCCATCACATCAAATAATGATATCTGTCATTGCCATTGTGGGTTTTCGAGCCCGACTTTCACCATTGACTCCCACTGTCTGCTGTCGTTGTGTCCTTGGCAAGACACTTAACCTCTGGGAACACCTGATGCCACAGTGGGGCGGCTGCGGCTGTAACTGTAAAGTGCCAAACTGCAGTTGTGTCCTTAGGCAAGACACTTCACCCCCAATTGCCTAGAACGAGTCTGGTGTGTGTGTGTGAATGGTTGGTGGTGGTCGGAGGGGCCAATGGCACATACCGGTTGCCTCGCTTCTGTCAGTAGTTTATCACCACCGTGTATGGAGTGTAAGAATAATGACATGTAAAGTGTCTTTGAGTGTCCAAAAAAGCGCTATCTAAAACTGATGCATTATTATTAAAATCCTCAGCACTCGCTGTGAACACTAAAGCTAGGCATGCGCTGTTTGCTAAAACTTTTAGTAATACGTTTTTGATGTGTGCATTTGGACATCAGCAATCAGGATCAATCAATCAGGATTGAGACACCGCTAAAGTTGGTCTATGCTTGTAATAATCTACTTTTGTACAAAAAAAGGTCACGGAGCTCGGTTGGCGCTCCAGTATAATCGGTCCGTCTGAAACTGATCCAGTGAGGAACGTTCCGCGGTACAAAAAACACAATACATCAAAATGCGTCAATTTTTTTAACACGCTAATTTTTGTGCCGTTAATTAATCTTAATTAACGCGTTAAAGTCCATGTGTTGGATTTCAAACAACAGGGGGCGACAGTAGCTCAGCTGGTAGAGCACTGGTCTTTGGACCCAATGGTCGTGGGTTCGAGCCTACCACGACCCATGTCACCGGCTCCCACTGATGTCTGATGTCGTTGTGTCCCTGGGCAAGACACTTAACCCCACATTGCCTGAAGCCGCCTGCAGGAGGATCAGCGGGGGACTGGTGCAATGAGACTTGGGTGGTATCTCTGATTGCCCCGACCCAGAAATGGATTAATAAAGGGGTATTAAAGGGGATCTACTAATGAGACAAGCAGAAAAGGTCTATTATTAAAAGAGACAAGAATGAGAAATACATTGCAACAGCACTTGAAATGGCTTGTCTATTGGTAAATCTTGTTTTAATTACTGTAGTGGATGCAAACCACTTGATTCAAGCATTCATTACTTTATATTTTATTATTAACAATTAGCCCCTGGTCTCATATATCATTCCTTTTGCTTGCATTTTTCGGAACAAACTTGGGACTGAATGAAAACCGGACCAAAACTACAAAAAGCTTCTTTCTATCCCCCTGTAATACCAAGGGGTCTGCGGTCCCTCATTTGGGTAACAATGTGTTGGACATCACTGTAAAGCCGACTGGAGCACGGTACGTCTACTTTAAACACCCCTTTTAGAAAGAGGAAGGTAAACTGAACCATTCTACCTCCTGTGTCCTTTTCCGCCAATGGGAAAATTTGAAGAAACTCAAGTGCGGTGCATGCTGGGAAGGGGATTACAGCACATGGTCCCAGCAGAGAACCAGGAACCATCTGGATCCAGCACCGGATTACACGCTTACTCTCCGTTCTCCTGCAGCTCTTTCCTCTGGGGCTTGAGTTCGTTCCTCAAAAGCATGTGCCACTTTTCCTCCCAACCTCATCACGTCTGAGGCTAAGGTTAAAGAGGACGCACAGAATGCCTTTCCATAGCCTGGATTTGAATAAAGTGTGGCATAAGTAACCGGGGGTTTTAATGTTGCATTTAAAACCCGTTATTTGCATAAACATTTATACGCTCCCTTGAGGTGGATTTTCAATAATGTGCATAACTGTAAATGCGCATCTTAGAAGGTGGAACCAGTTTTAATCACATACAATTTTAAAGTGAATATAAATCATGTGACTGTTGGGCTCACACCTGTTTCCGTAGACCAGGGATGTCAATCTGGTTTCAGAAAACCAGATTCCGGTGTGGCTGCAAGATTTCTTTCCAACCAATCAGTTTGGAAAGAAACTCGACCCCACCCATTTCCCAGGTTTAGACTCCCTTAAGAAAATGTGTGGA